AAATGGCATGTTACATTTATGAGCATTAAATGTATTCTTGGAATTAATCTCAAATACAACTTGAGTAAGCTCATTATGAAGAAGAGCTCTCATTGTGATGCAATTTAATGTATTAGCTTCAATCCACAGTTTTTGTGTTCATTTCACTTTAGTGTTGAATTATTTTTCAAATAAAATGATGCAGCCACCAATGTTATCAGTATGTATTATTTTTTTAAGATATGATATAGTAAATATGAATAATGTATCAAAAATAAAAAGAAATGTTTGTCAAAATTTAAGACTGTAGTAGGAATTTTAAGAATGTGCTGCTTTTAAAATGTTTTATGGTTCTTAAGTCGCATTGTTAAATATTTGTTTGTGATTTATAAATCAAAAGCACCCATATGACCAAAGAATATACTACAATGGATGTGATATTTCCAAATCAGAGCATGAAAACTTATGTGTGCTTAGCCATGTGTAGTTGTCCATTGTATAGAAGACTAGAATAATAAAAAATTAGTAGTGTTTGTAATTAACATTGAGTCATAACGTTTATAAGGAAACTGGATTTTATTTACAAACAATTCAACTGGAAATGATGGTTTACTTAAAGCTTATTGCTATTCCACCAATTCCGTGTCATAACATGGAATTGGCAAGAGGTCATGTACTGGCCACATCTGATTTATACCAATGGTATTTACACATTTTCAGAATGATTTCAGGTAAATTTAATTAAATGTTTAAATGTAAATTTTTTTTTTTTTTTTTTTTTTTTTTTTTTAATGTTTGATTTGATAGTGTTTACCATAATTTCCATGATAGGACTTTTTGTAAAGTTTCCAGAGGTTCCTCCTTTCATTCCACTTCCACTGCATTTTAGAGTTTATCAGTAGTGGGTGGATTTGCACTTAGAAAAAGGTCTTTTCAAGAGATCACAGGCACAGTTTTCCATAGGTGAAACATTTAAGGGACTTCGTGAAGGAATGCACTGGAAAGGTATATATGTAATACCTGTATCAGTCTTCATTTTATCAAGGAATGCAGCAGTGCTTTTTGAAGTATAACTTGTTGCTTTCTTTTGGTGGGCTTTCATGCTTTGGAATGAACAGAGTTCATACGATCCTTAAAAGTCATTCTTTTTTTGCAATCGATATTTGGTCCTTAAAAGTCCTTAATTTCGCCCACAATCGTAAAATGTCCTTAATTTTAATAATAATTTGCTTTACGTCTGTCAGGGGTTTGGAACTATTTAACTTTTGCCAGATCAAGGGAAACCTCATTAGATATGTTATCGAGAGATTGACAAGTTAGGAGATAAGAAACTAGTGGGAACACTGGTTTGCATATTGAAAAAAATTCTAATTGTTAGAAAGGATGCTTAAAGAGAAGGAAATTAATATGAATTAGCCAAAATGTTCTGGGAAGGCTTCAAATAAAAGAGATGCATAAATATTTTGTTAAGTGTTGTTGCTACAAAACATAAATGCTTTGTAGCTTTTAATTGTGTAATTATCCTAGCATCATTTAAGAATCAGTGTCGTAAATTACGTGTATTTTAGTGTGAAATGCTATTAGATTGTAATTTTTAATAGTGCTTTTTTTAACAAATATTTTTAAAAAATAAAATTTAATAATGGCCATGTAAATATTTAATGACTAAGGGTATCTAACTACTTAATTTAATTATTTGTAATTAAATGCTTACCCTTAAAAATTATTGCTGTTAGTTATTGCCTTTCATTAATCCTTACCGTGGTCACAGAGAAATGTAAAGCTTATTCTTTGCAGATAGTGAGACTTCAAATAATGCAAAACAGCTTATCGCCTCTGGTGCTTTAGTAGCTTATTGGAACCTTAAAGTATATTAACTGAGTTACAACCCTAAGAACTCTACACGAAGCTATAATACTAACTGCGTCATAGAGCATGACTACTAACTTTCAAAACTTGCCAATGATGCTTACATCAGACTTTCAGATCTGTTCTGATCAGCAGGTCTTTTTCTAGGAAAGCAAGCAGCGGTGATAACAGACAGTCTTTCTGTTAGCAGTCATGCTGAATCTGATTTTCCTTCTCATTTTAACCTATGCCATTTGACATAAAATCTGCCTGCTATTTACTAAACCTCTAGACTGACCAGATACGTGATAAAATGAGACATTTAAAAAAAAAAAAAAAATCTGAAATGTTTCAGATTTTAAATTACGTCCAAAGGGGCGTTTTTTAACATTTTGTGTGTAACCTTTCTTTATTAAATATCATGTTCCTCGCACTTAAACCATAAGATCCAGTGCAACAGCAATATCGCAAAATAGTTTTAAAACGAGCTTAGTTAAATAGTTTCTTTAGAATTTCCGATACAGAGACTCACGCGCTGGAGATAAAAATGTTTTTTCTGCACAACGTTGCCATTGCTCGCTTTGAAATCCTTGAGTTTGTTAATCAAAAATTCGTCAAAGTTTTAAAAAATAGGAAATCGATCATAAAACAAATTTCAAATTTCAAATTTGGTCTTCCACATGCTCATATTCGTTGGAGGATTACGTTATTCAAAATTCGATGACTCTATGTACCGTTATTTTATGACAATGTGAGAAATATACATACATTTATGCAGATTTTCATTATTTAATTTCTTCAAATATAATGCAGGACTCTAACATTTTATGGCAACAGTTTGAAAAGTGAACCGACATTTATCCGTCTGACGCAAAATGCCAAAACGAGGCTAATAGTCCTTCGGGATTCAAATCCCTTTGGACTAAAAAACTTAACATGAAACTAACTGTTAGTAAAACATAAATAAAATGTTACTAATCTTCTTTCAAATATACCCAACTATTATTAGTGTAAAATATTTAATGCTACTTGATAAATTTCTTTAAGTTGATTTTGTTCTAAAATTTGTTTTATAATTATTTTTATTAAATTATGTTTGATAATAATGCATCCTGCTTACAGATATATTTTATTCTTAGGATGATATTACAAAAGTTAAATTCAGCCATTGATAATATCTTTAATTGAATTTATTCAATTCGCTTTTTGCTGTAATGGTCCTTAAAAGTACTTAATTTTCATGTGCAGAAATGTTATGAACCCTGTATAAAGAAATGAAATTTCTTCTTTAAATATTGGATATAAAACAAAGTTATCTTGATTGGTATGTTGAATTGATTTAACATTACCCCCTTCCACTCTTATTTTAATTTAGAGTTGTAAGAGAATCCTGAGACAACCATAAATCTCTGACTGAAACTTCTTTTGAATTCACATAACCAGTTTTGTGCATTTTTTTTTCTTCATTTTCGATAATAAATATGCCTTTCCCTCCCAGTCCTTTAGATAAACCCATGCTTCCATCGAGGTCACAACGTATCTGTATGAGATACATAGAAAAAGTAGTTTTCACACAGTTTAAAAATTGTTCTGCATTGAGCCACATGCCACACTAAAAGCTGGTGAACATTGTTTTTCACCTTTTTTAAGTTATAAATCTTGGTTTATTCTTTTATTTAGTGTTGCTATAGATGGATTTAGACTTAGCGATTGATTTGTGTAGTGACAGATTTTCTCATTACCAAAACTTTAAAAACAGTTTTTTCCATATTTTGATTTTATGACTCAAATTATGCCTAGATATTAAATTTTGTAAAATTTGATGTGAAATTTACAGACAAATTTAAAAATTTATGTTGCCACAATTTTTTCAGTTTGCGCCAACAATAATTCAATTGGAAAACTTCTTAATATATTGCAACCTATTTTCCTTTCCAGTCTGTTATGCCAGAGAGGAGGGGAAGGCACCTCATTCTTAACATTTTACATTGTGCATTATCAGAAAAAGTCCCATCGTTTCTACTTTTAGATAATTTTAACAAACTGTCTAAACTACATTTGATGTTTTATCGCTTTCAACAAACATGCCAAATTTCAAAACGCACCAATATATAAATTAACATATATCTTCAGAAATTTTTAATAAAAAACTGTCATTTTTTTTTTTTTTGCAGGTATGCTTAGAAATACATCTACTTTAAGATGATGGTAAAATTTTTATAGATTATAATTCAAAATTTTTTCAAAAATTTGTGAAAATTATTTAAAAATACAAATTTTAAAACTAAATCATAAAAAATGGGTAAATTTTATTTGGAATGTACCTGAATTTCGAAATGTAAAAGTAAGAATCGAATAAGTTTACTTAAAAAAAAGAGAGAGATTAATAAATACATACCAAACTCAATTAACATTGAGGAACTAATTTTTTAAAAACTGCTCTTGCGATTTTTACAAAACTTGACAGTGTGCCATAATTTGAGTCATAAAATCGAAATATGAAAAAAATCGGCATGTCATTTCAGAAAAAGTCTGATTTTATGTCAAAATACCTATATTAGAATAATGCTATATATAAATGTAATACATATCCAAAGTCCGACTTTCGAAACATGAAAAACGCAAGTTGAATTTCGACAATCGGCGCAGTAGAACGGGAGGTATAGAACTGTACCCCTCCCTCTTCTTGTCCCCCCCCCAAATAGTCTTATAGCCTTTTGGAATCTTCTTCCATGTAAAAGTTATGATAGATGGTTGCTTTATTTTGCTTTTAGAAATTTTAATACCATGCATTTCACAATGTTTTTGAATTATAGAATAGGAATATTTCTCTTTGGGAAGTGCAAAAATGTATCCTTCAATGCAGAGCTTGTTTACATGTGACATATTGAAAGAAGAATAAAATTAAAAATAGCAGATGATCTTTCTCCTTTCAAATAATAAACTGTTGCCAAAAATTTTATTCCAAATCATATGCTTTTTTTTTTTAATTCTTTATTGAAAATGCTTTAAAAATGTGTAAATACCCTTTGTAGCAACGTTACTTTTAGAGAATTTATATCTTGATTTGATTTATAATTTTATTGTAAAAGCTGGGTTCTTATATTGCATTAGTTTTAATTTTCTTTTTCAGCTATAAAATTAATAGTAAAGTTTTTTGCTATTTCGTTTAGGAATCTGTTGAATTGCCTCTTACTCACCCAGAATATTATGAAGAAATGGGAATAAAACCTCCAAAGGGTGTAATTTTATATGGTCCACCAGGAACTGGTAATTTAATTTTTTGCTTTTCAATATTTACTGCTATTTTTTATTTTCTTGTAAAAATATAACTGTATAAATGATCTTCTTTTGGAAAATAAGCATCTCTAGAAATAGGTATTTCTTGTAATATTTTAAATGTATATTAGAAAATTAAAAAATCATGAAATATATATTTTGACATACTGATAATTGAAGGAATATATGCTTGTAACTCAAATTAAAAATTAATTTACCATCTTCTGTCCATATAAACAGCATATTAAATACAGGGTTGCCACACTACCTGGAAAATCGGAAAAAGTCGGAGAATTCAAAAATTGATCAAAAAAGTTGGGGGGGGATCAGGGAATTTAAATATTTTACTCAAAATCTGGAAAAGTCGGGGAATTTCATGTTGCAATTCCCCAAAAAAGATTTTTTCAGTAACCTCAAGAATCCAGAAATTTGCATGTAAGTACGCAGTGCATATTGAACGAAAGTAAATTCCCCCCATTCTCCTATGAAATAAACATTGTTTAAATCTAGGTAAGCAGCAGGGGTGACAGCATTCAGTCTTTGGTTATGAATCATGCTGATTATGATCTTACTTCTCATTTTAATCTGTGCCGCTTGACATAAAATCTACCTGCTATTTACTAAATCTCTATACTGAGCAAGTATGTGACAAAATGAAACATTGAAAAAAAAAATAATCAACGTAAAGCTAAGTGTTAGTAAAACAAATAAAATGTCACTTTTCTAATATGTCCAACTATTAGAAGTGTAAAATGTTTAATGCTACTTGATACATTTATAAAGTTGATTTTATTCTCAAACTTATTTTGTTAATTAAATATGAATTATATTTAATTATAATTCATCCTACTTACGGGTCTATTTTATTTTTAAGATGGTATTACAGAAGTGAAGTTCAGGCATAGATAATATTTTTAATTCAATTTATTCAGTTTCCGTTTGCTCATAGGTCCTTAATTTTTTTCATCAATGGTCCTTAAAAGTACTTCATTTCTGTGTGCAGAAATGTGTACGACCCCTGTTTGAAGTAAAATAAAAATATAATAATGTCATCTAGGCTAACCATTTAATATATATTTGCCAAAATACCATCCATTTTTGTACTTTAGATTTTAATCTTTAACTGATTAACTTTATTTTAATGTTATTTGTGTCCTTTAATGTGTCTTTTTTTTTTCTTCTAAATTTATCTATTATTAGCTAATAATGCTTTCAAATTTCAGGCAGTTTTCTCTGGCATACTTGTGAAACTAATTCTAGCAGTAATATGGCATGCTATCACGAAATTTAGTGTGCATATATTTTACTTGTGTATGCTGCTAAATAAATATACTCGAATTTATGTTAAAATATCATTAAATGGATTTCTTTCTTCCTTTAGCTTTAAAATGTGTGCAGAAAAGACATTTTTAATCCTGATAGGGCAGATTCTAATCTCAGTCCTCAGGGCAGAAAACTACTCCTATTTTAGTTATAAAAAAGTAATGTTTTGGAAATTATATAGAGAGAGAGTCATGTGTAATTGGCACATTTTTGTGTTTCAAATGGTACCATAATTAATTTACCCTTAGCACAGCCAATGTGCACTATGCGGATAGCCTAGAATTTTCTAGAAACACACCTGGAAAAGTAAGGGAATTTCATTCTCCTGTTTGAACGGCAACCCTGTAAGTATAAATGGCAAATTTTTCTTTTGTTGTATACCTTCATTGCTGAGGTAATGGCTAAAGAAATTAACAGTAAATATTAAATATTTTAATCTTCTTATATTTTGCTTTATATTATTTTCTTAATCAAAATCGTAAAAAACAACCTTATATTTAGCGTATGTATAATGAAACACTCAATCGATTTCGAGGGCAGCTAAAGGTCCCTCCTCATCAGGAGAAAGAAATACATAGAAAGAAGAAAATAGGAATCACAGAAACACGTGGTGCTTATCAGCACTGCACGTGGTTATAACTAGATTTTTAATCAGAGTTGCACTGGCCACCTACTTTTACTGAGCCAGGCTGTCTGATCAAGCATAAAGAAATATTAGCGAAGTTAAAATAGGGAGCGAGGGGCAAATGCACATTACGCTCAAAATCTGAACTTCAAATAATGGAAAGCAACCACTGAACGGATTTTTATACCCTCTGGTAGTACCAAGTGCGAGGAGGTAACGCCATCTATCGGCAAAAATAATTGAATTAAGACAGTAGAATTTTAAAGGCATTAGGAAGGACTGGATTGGACTTCAAATCATTAACAAACTAAACTTTCTAAATCTTTGTGAATGTGAAAAGCCTCAAGAAAATCCAATTCGCCTATGGAAGAAGCCTTTTGGATGATTTTTGCAGACCCAAAATCAAAATTATGGTTAAAAGTCCAGCTATGATACGCTATTGAAGACTTGTTAATTTCCCCTTTTTTGACATAAGATTCATGTTCCTTGATACGAAACTTCAACGCTCTTTTTGTTTGGCCAATATATCTTAAACCACACTGACATGATATACTATAAATTCCCCAAGAATTCAAGACAGAAACGCAATCTTTTAGAATCGAAGGGTGAATTTTATTAATAGGGGAGAAACCGAATTGAAAATTGAATTTCTGGAGAATCCGTGCAATTTTATAGCTAACAGAAGGATAAAATGGAAGCACGACAAGGTCATTGATATTATTTCTGACAGCAGAATGTCTTCTTTGATGGGAATCTGAAAATTTTTTGACGGCTTTATCAATAATCACGGGAGAAAATCCATGGTCAATCGCAACTGCTCTCAAATAATTAAGTTCATTGGTAAGCAAAGATTCAGAGGAACAAACTTTTAGCGCGCGGAAAACATAATAGTAAAAAGAAGCTATTTTTTGCTTAACAGGGTGGCATGACTTGGCATGGGGTGGTAAACAAACTGCAAAGGGTTTACGGTACACAGTGGTGCTAAAATCGGTTTCATTGCGGATTATAAAAATATCGAGGAAGGGGAGGGAATTGTTGGATTCAATTTCAAGAGTGAATTGGATGGCTGGATCAATTGAATTCATAATAGATAGAATCTCGGATAAATCCTCTTTATAACCGTCAAAAAGTGCGAAAGTGTCGTCAACATACCGAATCCAAAGACGAAAAGATAATTTATCAAATAATTTCATCTCAAAATAGTGCATATAAATCTTCCATAGGCTATGGCTTCCTTCTATGGCTTCTTCCATAGGCGAATTGGATTTTCTTGAGGCTTTTCACATTCACAAAGATTTAGAAAGTTTAGTTAATGATTTGAAGTCCAATCCAGTCCTTCCTAATGCCTTTAAAATTCTACTGTCTTAATTCAATTATTTTTGCCGATAGATGGCGTTACCTCCTCGCACTTGGTACTACCAGAGGGTATAAAAATCCGTTCAGTGGTTGCTTTCCATTATTTGAAGTTCAGATTTTGAGCGTAATGTGCATTTGCCCCTCGCTCCCTATTTTAACTTCGCTAATATTTCTTTATGCTTGATCAGACAGCCTGGCTCAGTAAAAGTAGGCGGCCAGTGCAACTCTGATTAAAAATCTAGTTATAACCACGTGCAGTGCTGATAAGCACCACGTGTTTCTGTGATTCCTATTTTTCTTCTTTCTATGTATTTCTTTCTCCTGATGAGGAGGGACCTTTAGCTGCCCTCGAAATCGATTGAGTGTTTCATTATACCTACGCTAAATATAAGGTTGTTTTTTACGATTTTGATTGTCACATTAGCGTGTTTCTCTTCTAGTCTAGTTTGTGCTATCAACCGGCATTTTCGAGAATATTTTACTGTTTATTGTTTTACCACATGCACCATTTTATTTACTTCTTTCCACGTGGCCATCATTTTTTCGGATTTGGTTTATGCTATCAACCGGCATTTTCGAGGTAATTCTATATTTTTTCGGTTTACCACGTGCACGATTTTGACTTTCGTTGCTTCTTTCCACGTGGCTATTGGTTTTCAGTATTGGATGTTTCTCTCCTTTTGGAATGTTTTTGTCATTTGTTGATGAAAATTGTCTTCATTATTTATTGGTGTTTTTTTCATGTTATAAGTAATTACTTGTTTGGACTTTCGGAATTACATTTCTTTTGTTCACTTGTTTCTTGCTTGTGCCCTTTTCACAATATGTCCACTGACAGGAACCGATTTTGTAAGTTACGCCTTAAGCGTACGAAATTCTTGAATCATCTACAGTTTCTACTTAAATGCAAACATCAAAATTTCATTCCCAAATTTATACATGTAAAATGTAGCCTTAAAGCTTCCGTTCACGTTTCAAAAATTTTGCATAAATTCAAATTGGCACTTCTTCGTCACATTATAAGGGACACGCAAACGTTTATCTAAAATTGAATTTGAATTATATTACCTCCATTTAAAAATTGCTAATTCCACTGAAAATTTTTCCTCATTTGAACATACATGCTGGTCTAGAACCGATACCGTTTGTCAACGGTATAAAAATGTGCTCATTTCTAAATTCCAAAAACTCACACACCAGTCGGATAGTCCCAATTATCTAGCTGATCTTCCCACTGTAAACGTTAACTCCATCGTTAATATCTCCAATAGGAATCTTTCGGAGGATCAGTTAAAAGTATTAAAATATAATTTCAACTTTTCAAAGACATCTAAACCTTCAATTCCTCAAATCATCGCCCCTATAGAGAAAGCCTTTAAATTCTCCAAAATTTCGGAAACGCAGAAGGATACAATCCGCCACCTAATTACTCATAACGTTAATTTTAACAATAAATCTTTGGGTTCTAATCTTAGCAAAAAGGAAAATGAGATCTTACGTGAAATTCATTCTGATACTAATATCATTATCTCTAAAGCTGATAAGGGCGGACAGATCGTTGTTATGGACAAACACACATATATTACTGGAGTCTCTAAATTGATAAATGAAGGCCCATACTGCTCGATCCCTAAAGATCCTTCAACTTCGGACCTCATGAAAGTAAAAAGTGCTATTAAATCTTCCCACATTCTGCCAACTCAGTTGAAGAAATCACTTATTCCGCCTATTACTAATTGCGCTAGACTTTATGCTCTTCCAAAAGTCCACAAAACCGGTATTCCTTTTCGACCAATTGTTTCCAACATAGGTACTGCTTCATATCCTTTGGCCAAATATTTAGTTTCCAGATTTTCTCCTCTACTTGATAACAATATTCACACTGTAAAAAATTCTGTTGAAGTCATTGATAAACTTAAAAATATTTCCCCACTTCGTTCCATTATGGTTTCATTTGATGTCAAATCATTGTTTACTAATGTTCCGGTCGAAGGAGCACTAAATTGTCTTGAAACTAGGCTTCGGGAATTTCACTTCACACATACTGAAATTAATGAGTTGGTTTCGCTTACTAAAGTTTCTCTAAGTCAAACCCACTTTGTTTTCCAAAATGCATATTTTCGTCAAGTTGAAGGATTGGCTATGGGTAATCCTCTCAGTCCGGTACTTGCTGACATTTATATGCACTATTTTGAGATGAAATTATTTGATAAATTATCTTTTCGTCTTTGGATTCGGTATGTTGACGACACTTTCGCACTTTTTGACGGTTATAAAGAGGATTTATCCGAGATTCTATCTATTATGAATTCAATTGATCCAGCCATCCAATTCACTCTTGAAATTGAATCCAACAATTCCCTCCCCTTCCTCGATATTCTTATAATCCGCAATGAAACCGATTTTAGCACCACTGTGTACCGTAAACCCTTTGCAGTTTGTTTACCACCCCATGCCAAGTCATGCCACCCTGTTAAGCAAAAAATGGCTTCTTTTTACTATTATGTTTTCCGCGCGCTAAAAGTTTGTTCCTCTGAATCTTTGCTTACCAATGAACTTAATTATTTGAGAGCAGTTGCGATTGACCGTGGATTTTCTCCCGTGATTATTGATAAAGCCGTCAAAAAATTTTCAGATTCCCATCAAAGAAGACATTCCACTGTTAGAAATAATATCAATGACCTTGTCGTGCTTCCATTTTATCCTTCTGTTAGCTATAAAATTGCACGGATTCTCCAGAAATTCAATTTTCAAGTCGGTTTCTCCCCTATTAATAAAATTCACCCTTCGATTCTAAAAGATTGCGTTTCTGTCTTGAATTCTTGGGGAATTTATAGTATATCATGTCAGTGTGGTTTAAGATATATTGGCCAAACAAAAAGAGCGTTGAAGTTTCGTATCAAGGAACATGAATCTTATGTCAAAAAAGGGGAAATTAACAAGTCTTCAATAGCGTATCATAGCTGGACTTTTAACCATAATTTTGATTTTGGGTCTGCAAAAATCATCCAAAAGGCTTCTTCCATAGGCGAATTGGATTTTCTTGAGGCTTTTCACATTCACAAAGATTTAGAAAGTTTAGTTAATGATTTGAAGTCCAATCCAGTCCTTCCTAATGCCTTTAAAATTCTACTGTCTTAATTCAATTATTTTTGCCGATAGATGGCGTTACCTCCTCGCACTTGGTACTACCAGAGGGTATAAAAATCCGTTCAGTGGTTGCTTTCCATTATTTGAAGTTCAGATTTTGAGCGTAATGTGCATTTGCCCCTCGCTCCCTATTTTAACTTCGCTAATATTTCTTTATGCTTGATCAGACAGCCTGGCTCAGTAAAAGTAGGCGGCCAGTGCAACTCTGATTAAAAATCTAGTTATAACCACGTGCAGTGCTGATAAGCACCACGTGTTTCTGTGATTCCTATTTTCTTCTTTCTATGTATTTCTTTCTCCTGATGAGGAGGGACCTTTAGCTGCCCTCGAAATCGATTGAGTGTTTCATTATACATACGCTAAATATAAGGTTGTTTTTTACGATTTTGATTGTCACATTAGCGTGTTTCTCTTCTAGTCTATTATTTTCTTAGCTTAAAAAAAAGTGTAATATATAGCATATGTATTTCTATTCTGTTATGATGGCACTATATAATTTAATGCAAATGCAGAGTAGAGCAAGTGCCTAGTGAAATTCAGATATTCTAAACATTTTTAATAATAGTATTTACATGTAAATCTCGCTCCCTTAAAATAAGAATAAATTCATGTTATTATCTTAGATATAACGAGTCCTGATGTAGCAACCCATAAGAAAATTCAAACTAATATTCCATAATCCTATCTTATATCAAGTGTGATGAAGTTGTGAGAAATATCATATGGTACTTTTTGATTTAATGAGTACTAATTGTAAGTTTAAAAATCCTCACCAAAATGTCCGATATTGTAACATTTTTATTTCACCTCACTGTTTTTTATGCAGTGATGTCATTGAAAGTAAGTGAGAGAAATGAATATAAAGTTATTTTTCCTCAATTTTTTTAATTGAAGTGCTCTTTATTTTTTAAACAAATAATTGATAAGGATCAATTGAAGAAATTATAAATAATGAGGAAGATTCTGTGTTAAAATCTTCTAAAGCACATGTATTATTCTTGCTAAAAAAAATAGAAAATCACAAAATAAAATTATATTTTACTGTTATCAAAATATCAAAATGATGCCACAAGAAGAAAGCTTTACAGAACCACTACCAGGTACTGATTTAAAGGCTCGCACTTTCCTTTTCTGTCAACTGTTTGGTGTATTTACTTCTCATATCAAGAGTTGATATCAGTATAGAATTCCCTCATTTGCAACTAGAAATGAATCGCTGTACATCTGCCAAGTGAAAAAATTACATGCATTCTTACTAGTAAACTTCTGTATTTGTCTGTCTTTTTTGCATTTAGTCTGAATTCAGTACAAATCTTTTCATAAGGATGTGTATATTGTTAGAGTTTAAATTTTGCACTAACATTTATATTTGGTATTAAGTAATGCTCTGTTAACTGAATATCATAATTTAGGGAAATACATTAATTTTTATTGTAAAAATCAGCATTAGTTATCATATTGCAGCTTTTTATTGGTTGCAATATTAAAATGGAATGTGATTTAATTATGCAATATGTACCATATAGCATTTAACTTACATGGACATTAAATTTCTGTAACAGATATCAATAAAGCAATATAGATGTCTTGTTTCAAAATCAAGCTATATCTTAATAAATGAGAGAAATTAGGAATTAGATTTTTCTCAGAATTTTCAAAAGTGTTTCTTGTAAGCTGGTCTGATTGAAAGAATTCATAAATGTTTTTGTTTTAATTACCTAATGTACATTGCGCGAAAAAAAAGGGGGGACTATTCTATATCTCCTGTTCTACTGTGCTGATTGACAAACTTCAAATTGTGTTCTTCATGTCTCGAAAGCGTGACTTAAGATATATTAGATTTATGACACAAAACCAGACTTTTTCTGAAATAAATACCTTTTTTTTTTTTTTTTTCCCATGTTTCGATTCTACGGCTCAAATTATGTTGAGGTATTAAATTTTGTAAAATATGATGCAGAGAAATTTAAAAATTTATCTTAGCGCAATTTTTTCAGACTTGTTAATATATGGCAACCAAGTTTCCTTTCCCTTCCATTATGTCGGAGCAGGAAAAAAAGTCACCTTGTTCCTACCTTTTTACATTGTGCATGAGCAGGAAAAAAGCCACATCATTCTTACTTTCAAATAATTTTAGCAAAGTGTCAAAACCACATTTGATGTTTTTAAATTATTATCGCTTTCCAACAATGCACCAAATTTCAAAATGCACCAATGTATAATTTCATGTGTATCTTCAGAAATTTTGAATAAAAAACTAATTTTTTGCAGGTATGCTTAGAAACATGTCTACTTTAAGATGGTGGTAAAAATGTTATAGATTATAATTCAAAATTTTTTGAAAAAATTTATAAAATTTATTTATTTATAATAAATTATATTTATAATTTAAATATTTAAATACAAAATTTTTAAATAAATCATAAAAATGGGTGAATTTTATTTGGAATGAACCTGAATTTTGAAATGTGAAAGGAATCAAATGTGTTTAATAAAAAAAGCGAGATTAATAGATATATACCAAACTCAATTAACATTGAAGAGCTAATTTTTTAAAAGCAACTTGTGCTATTTTTACAAAACTTGGTAGTTTGGCATAATTTGAGTCGCAGAATTGAAATATGGAAAAAAAATTGGTATGTTATTTCAGGAAAAGTCCAATTTTGTGTCAAAATACCTGTATTATAGAATACTGCTATATAAAAATCTAATAAATATCTAAGTCGCACCTTCGAGACATGAAAAACGCAAGTTGAATTTCATCAATCAGCCCAGTAGATTGGGAAATATAGAACTGTCTCACCCCCCCCTCTTTTTTTTTTTTTTTTTTTTTTTTTTTTTTTTCTCACCGTGTACATATCTCTGTAAATTCGTATTTTTCTAATTTCATTGTTTTCTCTAGGAAAAACCCTTTTAGCTAAAGCAGTTGCTAATCAAACATCAGCTACATTTTTGAGAGTTGTTGGTTCTGAATTAATTCAGAAATATCTTGTGAGTAGTGTTTTCAGTCTTCTAATTAAATGCTATTTATATAATGTTAATAATATACAAATGTTCTTATTTATTATATGTGTTTATTGAAATAAAATGCATATAATAAACAATGTTACTGTTATTATTTACTAACATTTATCGAAATTTATATTATATGTATTTATTGAAACTGGTCTTCAAGCCAAGTTCAGTTTTGTAAGGTTTTGTCAGAGATATTTATGTGACTAGAAAATTGCTAAATCTTTCCCCATTGCATCTGAAATTTAGTTTCTTTAGCATTTGGCTGCTGGATTAGCAGTCATATACAAATTATTTATGGTAGAGCTCATGCTATAAATGCATGTAAAGTTGTTTACATTTTTCATTTTTTAAAGTGTTTTCATAAGATAAACTTTCATTTGATAAGATTTAACACATTGTTTAATGTTCAGCAGCATACTGCCTTCTTGTGAAAAATCAAATGGCTTCTTTTAAAATTAGGGGGAAGCTTAGTTTGGTATAGATTTTTAATAAAAAGTTTATCTATATAAAGAATAATCAGACTCCTTTCAGAAAGGAGGAAAAAATTAGCCTTCTCCCTCCCTGTCCCCTTTTTTTCAATGCAAGAGAGTTATTGTTGGGCTGTTCTTTTTTAAATATATACAAATAGAAAATATAACTGTATTTTAAAGAAAGGAATTTTTCTAAATGTTTTCTGAACCTAGTGTTGTTTAGATGTGCATATTATGGAAATTATTTAAATATGCATAGTAAAATGTTAGGATCATATTAATTAAAAGAAAAATGTGATATTACTATTTAAATATAATGCAATTCTGTAGCATGTTCATGAAAACCTGAGGTATCTCAGGCTTATTTATAATACAAGGTTTTCCATACTGAATGGGACAAAAGGTAAGCATACCTGTGAAGACTGTAATTACTTTATTTTGATAAATCCAATTTTCACTGAAACCATCAAGTTTCTGTAGATGTTCTATGTGTGCCCCTCCAGTGACACAGCAAATATCTGTTTAGTATTCCAGTTCCCGCCACACTCGTGATAGAATATCCTTTGTTGATAATTTGAGCACTTCAGTTGCTGTAAGTCCTGGGAAAATGGAGGCACAAACACTTGGTCTTTAAAAAAACATCATAGGAAAAAATCACAAGGCGTTAGATCTGGGAAACACCATCTTGCTACAGAATGAAGCCAGGAACCACTTCCTCCAACAGTGGGAATAACCACAATGATAGCATATTGTTCAGTACCATATACGGTAAAGTACCTACATGGTACTGATTAAAATAAACTCAAATGCTAGGAAATTATCTAGCCATACAGAAACATATTTTTTAGTTTCTAAATTTTCTATTTTTTAGTTTCATAATTCATTTTTACAAAAATTCACATTTTATGATTGTAGTTAAATACGTCATCACGTTGTGTTGTTATCCTATTCCGGGACCGAGTATGTGAATGAGCTTAGAAAATAAATTCAAATAATACATAAAGCATTTTACCTATTAAATCTCATTTATTCACATTAGGGCCTTAGGTTATAGTTAAGTAATGAGTAACAAAATAAGCAAAAGTACATTTTCATCAACAAAAATTTGGGCTACACATAAGTATTACATAACTATTTGTTATCAGTACCTCATCTGGTAAATAATTACTTCCATTTGAATTTGCTTTAGCATTCCGAGTTAATTAATGATAATCAAAAATGAGCAAAATTTACACATTAGAAAATCACTATTATTCATAATGTAGGCAGGGGTACTCCAAAATTACTGTTGTTTCATCCTAAAACAGAATAGTTCATTATATGTTTGATAAGGCATTTATCACTTCATCATTTTAATAAAATTTAAGTTCCAAAAGTAATTCATTACATTTACCGATATTTACCGAGGCTAAATTATTTCATTATTGTAGACTTCAGGAAAGGTCAGCGAAGGGAAATTCAAACTGACTATACAATTCAGGCCCTCCTTCTCTCTCTCTCTCTCTCTCTCTCTCTTTTTTTTTTTTTAAGTTTGTTTTATTTTACCCAGATTTCCACGCTACTTAAGATAATTTAAGAAACACTATACTAAGCATAAGAACAAGAAGAGAAGAAATAATTTTTGACTTAACTAACAGGTCAGTCCGTAGCAGTTACTCGAAGCTGGAATGAGGCAGTAACTTGGAAAGACGAAAAGATGGCTGACAGTCCATAGATACCACATTCTTCATATAGTGGTATTTCACCTTAATGGCAGCACTGAAATTCAATAGCTGAGCCTTTCGAGGCATACCCACACACAGGAAGAACTAACCTCTCCCATCACTAAAAGTCTGATTTACATGTGGCAGCAAGGACCTAATAGATGAGATTCTAGGCATAACTACATAACTCAGCAACTTGCAGCAAGATACAAAAATCCCATATGAAGATATATCCTCTCCATAGTTAATGAAGACTGGATTATGCAGGGCAGTAAGTAATCCAGTAGACGAGATTCTAGGAGTAACTACGTAACTCAGCCGCTTGCAACAAGATAGGAAAATCCCATATGAAGATATAAGCACTCCATAGTTAATGAAGACTGGATTACATGTGGCATTAAACGAATACTAATACTTTACACGATCTCGCCTGTATGCTTACCCAGCTAATAACCACTCTCATATCCATGTTCCCCCCCCCCCCCCCCTCCGGTCCATGAGAGCAATTAAAGGTAATCCGTCTCGTCTGCACCATCATGTTATCTCCTTATTCCAACAAGTCGCTCGAAAAAGTCTCAATAGAAGTCTCTGAGTAAATGCAACCATTAATGGATTTTTCTACAAAGAAAATGGACCAGAAACACAACTGCTGGAAATGGCGCAGAAAACGTTCACTTTGAAGAAACCTTTTCATGTTCCATTACATCATGTGGATTTTCCATTTCCTAAATTTGTAAATTATGGTGATTAACTTTGCCAAAAGCCTGAAAATTGGCTTCATACATAAACGCAAGTCTGTTTGCAAAACCATCTACCTCCAGCTTATCTTGCAGATTCTTACAGAAATCTTTGAGCAGTGGTTTGTCGGAAGGTTTAAACGACTGTAGCATCTAACTGGTATGTGGCCGGAATTGTAGACATTTCTATAACACATGCCGCACCATTACACGAGGCATGCTTAGTTCAAAACTTGCACAATGCATTGATTTTAAGGACTTCATAAAAATGTCTTAATTTTTTCAACCACTTCAGTTTGGGCTGGTTTTTTCCTGTTGCCAGATAAAACCTGTATTATTGCAGTTTAAAAATTAATTTGTTTCAGCTTAATAAATGAATTACAAAATTTGTACAGTCAAAAGTCGTTAATTCGGACACCCATAATCTGGAATGATCTATAATCCGGACCTCAAAGCTACAAACTTTCTGCGCATGCGTAGCATTGAAGCATGCGCGTAAGACCTTTACCGCTGCGAATTTGCGCATGCGCAAAATACGTTTACGAATGCGCGTTTAATGTATAACGGACGGGGATAAGCTAAGCTAAAATTATCTAATTATCTATTTCAGTTAATGTTGCAGATTGCGTTGTTCCTTAATCTTCGAATTGGATCCGGATTATTATTTTTTGAAGACTGTTAGAGCACTTTTATAAAAGTAAGCTTAAACTTTCGATTATGTCAAATAGAATTTCTGATATATATTTACTAATATGTAAAGGATATACAAAGCGAAAGTATCTTTCGGAGTCCATTAAACAAAAAGTGGAATTGCTGCAAAAAATGGATAAAGGCATATCATTTGTTTATCTTTAACTCCACTAATGAATTGGAAGTTGATCTGTCAGCACTATCCTTATCTTAAGGGCAGATGTTTTTATTTTATTTGGCTTATAATTGCTTACTCAATGTAGTATTTCATCTCGATGTACTCTGATATGATTTAAATCAAATGCCTCATCATTATAGTTCGCTTCCGATAGCGAAGAAAGTGACAGATGTTATTGAAAACGAATAAATTTCGATTGACAAATTAGTCGGTATTCTCAACACAGCAATTATAGGACTTGAACAGCGGAACTTTGTAACTGAACAAGAAATTATGTCTGTTTATAGAATTAAAGAGAATGTATTATCACATAAAAAACGAAACAACTTAAACAACTTACATTGAAAGAAATGTTTAATAAAGTAAACAAATAAATATTAAGCTTTTTTTTTTTTGTAAATTTTGATACCCTTTAGATCATAATTGTTTTATTTTATTTTCGTAAATTACGGTTTCATATTTTTAATTTTATAATTTCTGCATGCCATTTTACCAGATTTAAACTGATGATCTATAATCCGGAATCGCCGAAGTCCCGACGAGTCCAGATTAACGACTTTTGACTGTATTATGTTATTTTTGTCTTATAAAAATAGTCACTGGTTTAAATTCTGACACCTTGTATTCTTAAAGGGTGATGGTCCAAAATTAGTTCGTGAACTCTTTCGTGTTGCTGAAGAACATGCACCCTCCATAGTGTTCATTGATGAAATTGATGCAGTTGGAACAAAAAGGTATTTATATAATTATTGGTTATATTTTATATTTAATTAAATGCGTGATGTTCAGATTTACTATGTCTTTGTAAGTGCATTAAATTTCTAGAGCTTACAAGCACAATAAATCCTCCATTATAGCAATTTTCGCTTTTTCCATTTTTTCCTTTACTTTGGTCTTTTGTGTTAACTTCTATCTTTATTTATTTTTTATGGGCAATATTTTATGTACTCTTTTTAATTTATATTACATCTTATAACATTAAATATTTTTAGTTTTGCCATGAACTGAAAGAGAGGTTATTCTGTTCTTTCAAGAACAAGAAGTTTTACCACGCATTAGACTTTCTCAGAACAATCATGATAAGAAACTTAACATTAAAATTACGGTGAATTATATATTTAAACTGCATCATGTGAATTATATATTTAAACTGCATCATATTAGTTTCTTGACCATCCTTGTGACAGTTCTGGAGTTATGACTGCCATTATTTTCTTGTGTTAAGATTGGCCCTCTGTGGGTGACATTTTGGGGAACTGGTTGCTTCAAAAGTCCACAAATACCTTTTTATGTGTTGTTAATTATTTAAGTCTAAATTTGTATTTTCAGAATAAGAAAAGTTTGAACCTAGTTAGTAATTCAGCACTCTGTTGAGCTATGAGTCCCCCCCCCCAGCTTCAAAGTGCCAGAAAGTCTTTATGATCATATACAGTGGATGGACAAAAATATGGAAACACCTTGTGAAATGCATGTTTGAAAAGAAAGATTGATTTTAATGAAATATGTAGGTGGCGCTGGCATTTTTGACTACTGACGCCACCTATACAACTTCGTAAATGTGCTAAACAGTTCAGTTGTTGTCGGAGTACTGTTATGTGAGGTTGTCATTGCATTATGTCAGAGTTAACAGACTTCGAACGTGGGCAAATTGTTGGAGCACGTATGGTTGGTGCTTCCGTAAGCAAGGTAGCCGAGGTGTTCAGTGTTTCAAGAGGTACTGTATCGAAGATTTATTCCGAATATTTGAAAAGCGGAAAAACATCATCTGCTAAATCACAGCGCGGACGACAGTGTGTCCTGAGTGATCGTGACAGACGATCATTAAGGGCAATTGTGACGAAAAATAAGAAGACCACAGTTGCAAAAGTTACTACTGCTGAAATGAATGTTGTGTTACCGAACCCTGTGAGTACCAAAACAATTAGAAGGGAGCTTCATAAACAAGGAATTTCTGGCCGTGCTGCAATTGAGAAACCACTCATCAGTGATGCTAACAGGAAAAGGTGGTGTTTAAGTCATAAAGCCTGGACTATAGAGCAGTGGAAGCGAGTAATATGGTCTGACGATTCTTCTTTTACATTGTTTCCCACTTCTGGCCGAGTTTACGTCTGGAGAACGCCATCTCAAGCCTATAATACAGACTGCTTGTTGCCAAGAGTGAAACATGGCGGGGGTTCTGTTATGGTTTCGGCAGCCATATCTTGGCTCTCTGCTAGCCCCATGATAACTGTGTCAGAGCACATGACTGCCAAGACTTATGTGAACATTTTGGCCGATCAAGTTCATCCCATGGTACAAACTTTGTTCCCCGATGTTGATGGTGTCTTCCAAGATGACAAAGCCCCTGTTCACACAGCTCACATTGTCCAGGACTGGTTTTCTGAGCACGAGGATGAGTTTTCCCATCTCCCCTGGCCACCACAGTCACCAGACCTGAATATTATTGAACCTTTGTGGTCTACATTGGAACGGAAAGTGCGTTCTCGTTATCCACCGCCAACATCGTTAACTGAACTTGCCACCATTTTGCAGGAAGAATGGTATAATATTCCCTTGGCAAACATACAGGAACTGTATTTATCCATTCCGAGAAGACTGCAAGCTGTTTTGGATGTCAACGGGTTTCCTACACCATATTAAGCAAAGAAACATGTTTTTTTAAAGGTGTTTCCATATTTTTGTCCAACCCCTGTAAATACATAGGCTATTCAGAAAGTAACTTGCGTTTTAGAATTAAAAAAAAAAAAAAAAAAAAAATCAGACATTTCTATTACTTAAATTTGGAAGGTATACTATTCAGCTATTTTTGTACATAATCTCCATATAAATTGGCACTTATTATAATGGTGCACAAGTTTGTTAATTCCATCATCATAGAATGTTGCCATCTGAGACTTACATGAATGCCTGCATGCAGTTCCTCGTTATCTTCGAAGGAATGGCCCCCACGAGTGGCCGAGCGGTAAAGTCGCTGAACACTGTTAGTTCGGTTCGAGGTTCAAATCCCGCAAACGGGATGGCTGCCTGGGAGTTTTCGTGGTTTTCCCCATGTGTAACGTGTATACGAGCCAGTTTCCATTAGAAAGTCCTCCACAAAGGCATCCTTCCCCTTAGGCAGATAGCGCTCGAGGCTTTGCCATTGTCACACACACACACTTTGAAGCACTGTCCAGACTGTACTGTGGATAATCATATAACTCCCATCCGAAACCGTCCAAGAGCCATCAAGTTTGAATGACTTGGGAGGACATGCTTTGTAATGAATGAAGGAAAAAGACTTGGAACTCAAATTTCCTCAATGCTTGTTTTGTATCTCTCTTCTTGATTTCTCTAATGTTTCACAATATCTCTCACTATTTATTGTTTCACCACGTTCAAGGTAATCCACCAGAAGCACACCTTCCATGTCCCAGAAAAAAGTTTCCATTATCTTTCTTGATGACAGTTTTTGCAAACATTTCCTTGGTTTTCTGGGAGAACTTCTGTGACCCCACTCCATAGACTGTTGCTTTGTCTCACAGGTCATGAACTTTGTCTGTTTTATTATGACACTTCTTATTGTATGTTTTATTATGACACGAACCTTTGTCTGTTTTATTATGACACGATCAAGAAGTGATTCACCATGTTCATGGTACGCATAAAGAACTGTCAAAGCTGCTACGTGTGCTGCTTTTTGTGGTCATCTGACAAGAGTTTCAGTACCCATCACAACACCAAACAACAGAGTTCATGAAATTTGAGGAAACTCTAGTGAGAACTCCGAAATTGTGAAGCAGCAGTTTTCATGAATCTTTTCGTTGAGTTTCTCTACCAGTTCAGCATTAACAATGCTTGGCTGGCCACTTCACGCTTCCTCATGAATATTAGTGCAGCCATTTTTAAATATGATGCACTACGGTTTCACTTATTACATCATTTCCATACACCGTACAAAGTTCCAAACAAATTTCAACTGGTCTCAGTTTTTTTGCAACCAAAAATCATATCACTGGTTGCATTTTGCAATTGCAGGATTTTTGTTGTAGCACACATTTTAAACATTCACAGTGAACAAAGCAGATGCAGCACTTACTGCCAATGATTACAGCCAAATGTGTAAGGATTCAGTAGACACTCTTAACACCAAGATGGGGATGCTAGCGCTATCTATCGCCACAAAGCGGCGAAATGTAAGTTACTTTCTGTTTTCTGAATTGCCCGCATAAATAAAATAGTGTATCATATTTTATAATTTTAAGCATTTTGAAAACAAAATTAATTTCTCAACAACCTCCTATGCAACAAACTATTCACCATTTTGAATCTGTTGAACTTTTTCAAATGATATATGAACTTTTTTAGTATAATTTCTCTCCATAATTTAGTGTAGTGTATATACCCTATGTAATGAAAGAAGCAGTGTAAATAAACTCTAAGCAAAGGTTCACTGTACCTTTCATTTGAGACTTTTTAGACCTAGGTCCAGTGTAAACTATAAATTCATTTTAAGAATGTGTTAAAGCCATATATTTTAGTTTTAAGTAAGATTCATATAAAATACTTTGTATTAATATACTGTATTTATTTGAAAATAAGGATTCCTTGAATATGAGATCTTCCTTACATTTTTAAATAAATTTTAAGAAATAAGTATAAATGAGCATTTGATCACAGCATAATTCTGTTTCTAATCATATGTTTCTAATTAGAATTAAGATTTACTACCTGGTTAAGTTAAACATTTTACTATAGAATAGAAAGAAAAATTAGTACTATTATATTGTTACCTGCAGGTGAACTGGTGAATAGTATAGGGAATGTGCATCTAAACTCAAATCACTCAACTAGATAAGTACAATAATTAGCAGTAATAATGCAGTTTATATATATGATAATAACTTTAATGATTTATTTAGTATTTAACAATTGTAACTGATGTATAAATTATGGTAAATCAACTCCTTTCATTCTGCAGTTAAATTTATCAAAATACCTGCTTTATAAGCTCCAACTAAATTTTAAACAAAAATATAGTGAAAAAAGGTCTTAATTTCAAGCAAATGTGGCACAATACTCATCACTTATTACATTCAAATTTCCAGAAACTAAAATCATTAAATGTAATTCTACTTTCCCAGTCCCTGTGCCTATCAGACACTGTTTGTAAAGCACTTTGTCTGGATTGTAGCTGAGAGGGGACACTTTTTTTTTTTATCTTAAGAATATCAAAAGCAACCTTCAAGAAGAAAAAGAAGTAGTTGCTGTAGAAGAAGTAAGCAAAGCATTGGCCATGTATGCAACCAATGAAGTGAGAGATGACTCATTTGACAAAGTGCAATCCAAGGGCTGGATAGAAACATAATTTCTGAAATTGGACAAATCACTGGAAGAAATATATTTTAACTGCATATGCATAGCTTGTAATATGGTGAAGGAGCATAAGTGATTATAGATTATAGATAAGTGATTAGATTTAAGGCTGAAAGAAAAAAACAATGTTAAAAAAAGTATAAAGCTCTTGGTAAAGTAATCAAGAGGAAGCTGCATTTAAACTGGGGACTTCTCAAACAGCTATGAGCAGTTTATTTAAACAATAATACATATAATTGATGGGGAATTGATAAAAATGCAGAGTCTGAAGAAAGTACAAAAGAGAGAGGAAATCAAGGCATGATGAAACTGCTGAAATAATATTGTTCATCAGGAACTGTATGGTACGGTAGATCATAATAAAGCTGATAATTGGATAAGATTTTTACCTGGGCTGTTAAGTGAATGCAAGCCATATGAAGTTTATAAATACAGACGAATCTACTCAGTTTTACAAAGAATTATCAGAATACTTGTCATGTTTTAAAGTGGATCAGCAAATAATTTTAGGAAATGAGTTACTGTGTTATTAACTTATACTGTGGATGCAACAATTAAGAAGACACCATTGGTAATTAGCAAAAGCAGAAAACCTCATAATTTGAAAGGATTCAAAATCGCTAACTTATCACAGTAACACAATAAACTCGTGAATGGCAGCAGTATTTTTATTGATTTTATTTTGAAATAGAACAGAGAACTGAAAAATTGAAAAAAAAAATTTTTTTTTAGCTCTACTTTTAAATAATGCTACTGGACTCTTCTCTGATCTCATTTTGAAAAACATTAGAGTTTCATTCTGCAAACGGAACTATTGTACATGACTTAGATCAAGGTATTTAAAAAAATGATAAACAAAATTGGAATGTGTAAAAATTCAAGTTCTTCAGATGAGATGACTAAGACAAGAGGCATGCATATTACAGTTCATGTGGACAGTTTCTCAAAACATAGTTTCAAAATTTAAAATTGTCTTTTAGTTAGAAGAAGCCTCAAAAGAATTGCAGGCTGTGGCTGATGTTAGCATCAGTGAGGAAATTTTTGACAGCTGATTTTTTAGAATATATTGCAAATGATGATGATAATGTTGAGATGTGTTATAAACCTTACTATGATATTGTAGAAATCTGTTTTGAAAAAAGTGGAAAAACTAAAACTGACAGTGAGAATGAGCCAGCTTCAATCAAAATTAGGGAAACAGTGCAGATTCTAAAAAAAATTCTTGAGTTGAAAGGTGGTTATGAAAAGTGCTGCTGGCAGTTTTAAGAGCTTGAGAATACAGTAGAATTCCAGAAATCCGCAAAGCTTGGGACGAGAGGTTGTGCGGATTTCAGGACAGAAAAGATAAAACATAATATTCGGACTAAAAGTGCAAAATGAATAATGAATATTAGATACATTATTGCAATAATTTATTTATATGCATTAAATTATTATTGCATATATAAATTTATTATATTATTCATTGTATTATATGTACACAGCATCGAGCATATCATAATTCCGTACCATTCTGCTATAAATCGAGGAGTAGCACCTGCTTCCATCTTTTGCAGAATTTGAACTTTTTGCGTTACCGTCAATGCAACGTGTTTACGTTTTTCAACGTTGCTAGCAGTAAAATCACAAGTGTGTTTCTTATCTGTCATTGTATTAAAAAGGGCTGAAATTTAAAATATTCTTCATTTATCCATAAAATATCCGGATAAAAAAAGGCAGCACTAAACAATCTCGTGAAAAGAAATAACAAAGCTCAGAAAATACAACAACGTGAATCGTGAACTTGAACAAAGAGTTGTTTATCTTAATGCAGATTAGAGGGGGGGAACTTATCTTATTTTTTAACGTTTTTATATCAATAATCGTTTTGACTCATTATTATTCAATAATTATGATGTCATTATTCGGTAAGTATTTTTTCCTTCGATATTTCATACTCAATTTTGCGGTTTCCGGAACCTATAAACTGAATGTTTATATTCTGAGAGGCAACGTGGATTTTCGGTATTTGACTGTACTATTGAAAAACTTTTGAATGAACAATACAAAACAACCACAGCTAAATCTAAACTTTGTAAAAATTTAAAATTTCATCAAATATGTAATTATTAAAATCAGTATTAAATTTCAAAATTGCATAAATATTCTAATTTTAGTTTTGATTTTTTATTGCTATTTTAAGTATTATTAGGTTAATCATTAATTAGTATCTTCTGGATAAGTTTGAACCTGATATCGCAAATTTCAGTTAACAAATCACCATGTATTAAATTCAGCCACTTACTAAATAACTTCAAACAGGTTTGGAATGAAAGCCATCTTAATAAACAATGGATACTGTATATAGATTTAATTGTCAGATTCATTGTTAAAATTTCGTCAAGTAAACTTCGTCTTTCTATACCTAGGTATGATTCAAATTCAGGTGGTGAGCGAGAAATACAAAGAACTATGCTTGAGTTGCTTAACCAGTTAGATGGTTTTGATTCAAGAGGAGATGTCAAAGTAAGTATTGTTACTGGATTGTCTAATTATTATTATAATTATCTAATTTTTTAGATGCAAGCTTGTTTTTGACTACTTAAGCCTTTTTACGATTATTTTCATTTTAATATCTTTTAAATGCATTTATATATTATCTCCAATATAAAGATTCAAATCAGCAAAAATAATTACTAATTATATTGGAAACACTAATCATTGATAACTTTATTATTTTAAAAGGAATACTTTGCTAATGATTGGTTGAATTAGCAAAATCAGCTTTGTTAACTATAAAGCACCATTTAGTCAGCAGAGTTGGAAAAAAAATTTTTTTGCATGAAAATGTTACTCTGAATATTTATCCATTATTTCAGACTGTAAATGTTATTAATCTTAATCACTGAAAAGTATTTTTGCTGCCATACTATAAAGGAAAATATCCATGCATAAAAGGGAACTAGATATACTATCGTTCATCAGAAATTTAAAGATTACTTATTTTTTTAGTGTGTTAGTGTTGACAGGACTTTAAAGTAAGAGGAGGATATGTAATGGCTATTTCCAAAAGTTGACTGAATTGTTTGCTCACAAAATTATACAAGGTGTGTTCGAAATGTTCGGTGAATTTTACCATAAAAAAAAAAAAAGGAAACAAGCAAAATAGCTTTACTGGCCTTCAAAGTATTTGCCATTAGCAACAAGAGACACTTTTGACATTGGGTGTATAATTGTTGGAAACCGTCTGCAAATGCTTCTTTCGGTATGGCTCAAAGCACCATTGTCACACATTGTTGGATCTCAGTAATGTCGGTAACGTGTTGGCCTTTCAGAATTCCTTTGAGGCAGTGAAACAGGAAGAAGTTCGTGGGAGCCAGATCTGGAGGATATGGAGGGGGATCAAAAACTGGAACCTGGTGCCTGTCGAGGAATTGGGTTACACGGATCGCAGCGTGCGGCCGGGCGTTGTCATGGAGCAGATTCCACTGTCCATTCCTGGCCGTAAACTTTTACTAACATGTCATGTGTCTCCGTCACAGTTTTGCCTAAACTTCAAGCAAAACTTTATGTTTATGCGTTGCTCAATATCACACTGACTGTGTTAAACTGCTCATAGCGTGCACTTCCTCTTATCTGTCGTAAAATGGCTGTTAGATGGCTCTAGATGACATTTCTCTCACTGCGTCTGCGTGAGTGCAAGATCCTAACCGGTGTGTTTTTTTAATTATGAGACAAATCACTGAACTTTTCGAACACACCTTGTATGTGACACATCATTTGATTTGAAAATGGCGAAAGTTTATGTCCTTATGTTCGCTAACAATACATTATTTGAATATAAATGTTGTTTGCTCTGTGTTGGTTGAAGTGTGCAAGATGTTTGTTGTAAGCAGTATTGTTCCTGCATTTGCTCATACAGGATTACATTTTAAGAAAACCACATCTCGCTTAACAGCTAGTATGTAACAAAATTGTTTAAGTGGGATATTTTGATAGTTTCCAATACTGTTTGCTAAGTGTCAACTTTTCAATGAACGTTGTATTACCTTCTGTGTTTTCCAAGTGCACTTATGTAAAATTTTTCTGTAATAATCATTTATGGTTTTGATTGGACTGAAACTAATCATGCATGCATCATTTGCTCACAGAATTAGCAAGGAAAAAAATTAGCTGTATCAACTTGAGAATTGTAGTTATCCCCCCTCCAGCATTATTGATGGGTAGAGTCAAGCTTTTTGAGGACATGGATCTGTAAAGATTTCTTAGTAAAACTTTTGACCATCAACATTCATTACCATTACATTATGTTACACTTCTTTTTCCTTTATGTTTCAGAGAGATATTTTCATATTAATGCGTAGGATGGAATAAATTACAAAAACAATTCTGCATAGTGCCACTATGTCTTTCAATTCACAAAATTTTCTTGAGTTTGGTAAATTGCCGATTTTACTGCTACATATTTGCAAGTTCACTTTTTATTATCAACTCTTAGAGTTTGTTTTCTTTATCTTGTGTCTCTTTTTAAATCCAGAAAGCCATCCTATGGAAAATGATGTATTAAAATCCATGTCCAGTTTATCTGCATTTTTGTTTTTCCCATGCTTATTTGTCTCTTAATTGATAATTTAGTATTGAAGACCGCATAAACCGTGGGAAAAGAAGCTTCTTTCAACATTAGCAGAATTTCCAATTTAAGGTTCCTTAGAAGATACTGATCTACTTGAATGAAAATTCTGTTTTAATGTTTATATTTTTGTAAACAAGCACTAAGTAAAACAGTCTCACTTGTCTTGTTAGATGCACTTTTCCTAATTAAGTTTATATGCTGCTTTAAATTGTTTGTTTTATCGTTCAAGGATACACTGCAAAAAAATAGTGTGTATAAATTTGTATGTACAATTTTCTAGGGGAATTCTGTATTCTCTTTGTATTCCAAAACATGTAGATGTTAATTTGGAAGAAAGTGGACAATTTGTAATCAGTTAGAGAATGTGAAGCTATATATGCCACATGAAGCAACTTTTGTATGATATATTTCACCCTTTCCAAAAATTGATTCACAGGAAAAAGAGAAATGGCGCACATATTTTGTTTTTATTATGTTATCTGCAGAAAAATTAATTTTTTCTAGCTAAGGAAAGTACTTAACCTGAGCTCAGTAGTAGATGATTTAAGTCATTAAATACTATTTTCAATAACAGTATTTTGGAATTGTAGATAAAAATGTGAAATACATATATATATATATATATGGATTTTAGTATAATTTATTATATTTTTAATTTGTTATCTAGTGTTTATCTTTCATACCATACAAGTCTTCCTTTATTGAAACAACATGTTATTTTGATTACATTTTATACACATAAATTTTATTTCATCTAATATTAGGTTGTCATGGCAACAAACCGAATTGAAACTCTGGATCCTGCTTTAATTAGACCTGGCAGAATTGATAGGAAGATAGAATTCCCCTTGCCTGATGAAAAAACAAAGAGGAGGATATTTTTGATTCACACTGCTCGAATGACTTTAGCTGAAGATGTCAATATTGATGATCTAGTAATGGCAAAGGATGACCTATCAGGTGCAGATATTAAAGTAAGTGAGCTTTTCAAGAATTGCAACTAAATTTATGGGAAGTATGGCTAAAATTACCTTTTACTAATTATTCAGCATGTTGGCTTCCTCCCTTTTTCATCCTTAAATATCAAGATCAGATTAAAATTTTCAGAATACATTGCATGGTAACTCTTTGAAATTCGGATTTTAAAGTTATGGATGCAGTATTTAGTTCATAGTGAATTCTTATAACATTCCCTGGATGTGGGAGTCATTTCATATTTATCAATAAACATAAATGCTGTTTGTACTGTTTTTTAATATATTTATAAACAGAATAATATTATCTCTAAGATGATGAATATGAATATATGTAGAAAGAGCTTTGATTCATCAGTTTGAAATTGCCACTGGATTATTATTTTTAACTTCAAATTTCTGTAGATTATTATTATATGAAAATGTTTGGCTATTTAATTTGTATAATGTTTTATTAATGTAGCTGTTGTTATGAATAATTTGAAATTTCAGTTTTGTAAAAAATTGCATTTATAACTTTCTGTATTTTTGTGTGCTGTGTTCAGTTTGGCTTTTAACTTCCTATGCTTGTGTGTACTGTTATTGAAAAAAGTTATTTTAAATAATTAATATTTCTTCTCAAACATTTTAAATGCTTTGCAAACTGCTGGAGCTTATATTAAAAATTTCTTTCAGGCCATTTGTACAGAAGCTGGTTTAATGGCCTTGAGGGAAAGAAGAATGAAAGTTACAAATGAAGATTTTAGAAAGTCTAAGGAAAATGTACTCTATCGTAAAAAAGAGGGAACACCTGAAGGTTTATATTTATAAAAAAATGCATTGTGAATATCATTTCTTTTGAAGTTCTCATTATGAAAATAAATTTTTTTAAGGATCTTTTTTGTACATGAAAGACTATAGTAAAAGAGAAAATGAGCATGCATTTAACAAACTAAAGAAGGCTTTCACAGCTGCTACAATTCTGACATATGCTCATCTCAGACCAAAAGTTGTCAAAAGAATAGAGTTGTTATTTTTTAATGCACATTATGTACTGCTGTATGAACTTAATTGAAGACAGTATTTTATACGTACAAAAAAGAGCAGTTTTATATATATTATCAGATTTTTTTTTTAAGTTTTTGTAATCGAATGCCTTTATTAGTAAAAAAATATATATTTATTACACTTATAAACCTAACCAGTATCAAAGTGCACTAAAGAAATTTTAAAATTAGTTTTTTTAATGGTGTTTTGTGATGAGAATTAATTTGCAATGATTTAGAGCTCATAATATATAATATATTATTCTTCATAAATTCCACAGCTTGTTACAGGCCAAGGGTCTCTCCAAGTTTCCTCCACCTGACCCCATTCGGAGCAGTACCCTTCCATCGGTTGACTCCAATTAACCTTAAATCTTGCTCGACGTCATCTATCCATCTAGTGTCTTCCTTTTCATTCTATTCCCTCAATTCTCGAAAAGGTTATCTTTTTGGTTGGAAATGCATTATCATATATAAACACATGGCTCAGCCATCTGATACAAGATGCCTTTACGATTCTCACAATATCAGTTTCATCATATTTTCCATATAGTTCATGATTATAAAGTATCCTCCACATGCCGTTTTCTTGTACCAGTCCAAAGATCTTTCTTAGGATTTTTCTCTCAAAAGTTGTTATCAGGTCTTTATGCTTTGTTAAGTATCCAACATTCACTTCTGTAAATGGCAGTAGGCCTTATTAAAGTTTTATATAAATGTAATTTAGTTTTTACGCTCATTAGGTTGGATTTAAATTGTTTTTTAAGCTTGTAGTAACATGTATTAGCCATAAATATTATATTCTATATTTCAGTTTTTATATCATTGCAACTTGTGATCAATGTGCCCAGATATTTAAATTGTTTTACGGTTTCAAAGATATAACTGTTCAAGGGGGATAAATCAACAGTTTTATTAGATGGAATCATAAATTTTGTTCTGTCTTCATTAATGATTAGGCCCATCTTCCTTGTTACATTTTCAAGTGAGACAAAAGCCTCGACCATAGCTCGTTTTGATTGCCCGATGATATCAATGTCATCGGCGTGAACCAGCTTTTGAATGGTTCCACTTATGTTTATTCCAGAGTCTATTATGGCCTTTTCTAAAGCTATATTAAACAGCAGTCAAGATAGTGAGTCTCCCTGTCTTAATCCTTTCTCAGTATAAAAGGGTTCTGAAAGGTTAATAATATATATTACATGCTCTTAATATATATAAAGTTTCAGGAATAACTGATAGCTTTGTATACAGTTAGAAAATTCATTTGTGTATGAAAAGGATTTCAATATATTATATTCTATGTCAAGGGTGAGCAACTCTCGGCCCAGCTCACTTTTCATTTGGACCCTTAAAACTCAATCTCAATAGGATTTGCGCATTTAGAGAAGAAATTGGTGAGTATTCAACATCAGATTGTATCAATTGGCAAGGCTTAAAAATTATTTTATTCTTCAACATATGCATCATAGCTAATTACAGTCTGACTGCTCATAAGTCAAAATTTAAATCTTCTATCAGTACTGCAGTAGAATACAGCATCTGGGTAAGGCTCAAACTTTCATCAAATTTAGTTTCCATGCTGGCCACAGTAGATTAAAAGAGATGCAAGACTTCAGTATCCGTCGTTCTTGGTGCATCAGCCATCACATCTTGTGAATCCTCACAAATATTTTATACAGATACCCTGCAAGAATGAGATTTGAAACACACCACATGAAGTGGCATTGATCACATATCCTACATGAAACCATTGCCAGACACCAGCTAGAAGAGACTGCTTTCTCATAAGAATAGTATGTTGCTCTGATCTCTTTTCTGTTTGTGCATACCAAGGTCAGGCTAAGTTTTACTTAAAGAGCTACTGAGTTGCACACAAGGCGTTCTTGTGCTCCGTACTGACAGTTGTTTGCAGTCATATAAACTGCTTGTTTCATGATAGTTTTTCAAGTTTAGTTAAAAGAATTTTGACAAATCATCAGAATTTCTTTAGTGTATATTTTGTGTTGACTACTTTTGTGATTTTATCGACTATTTTATGCATCACTGTAATAAAAAAAGGTAAGCAGTATTTTTTTTATTTAAAAACTAATTACATTGACTGAAAATCATGTTATTTTTTTAATAAACACTTGCTTTATTCTTACAGTTGAAAAAGTATCCTCAAAACAAATAAAGAAACAAAAAGTTGGATATTAAAATAGAAATTTTAATGGAAAATGGGAAGTACATTATTTTTTCACTCTTGTAAAGGACAAAGCTGTTAGCTTTTTATACTTGGATTCAGTATCCATGTTAAAAGAATATGATATTAAACAGTATTATGAGATGAAGCATGACACAAATTATAAAAACATCCAAGGTCAAATGTTGAAAAAACATTACAAATGAATTTGAGAGAAAAACTTAAAACAACAAAAATGTATATTTAAAGCTCAGTATTTTTCAACGGATTTGGTAGGGAAAGCTAGTTATGCTATTAATCAGATTTTAGACAAAATATGAAACTATTTGTTGATAGCAAGATGGTTAAGAAATGTTTTAACTGCTGTTGCTGAAATAACTTTTACTGATAAAAAAGACATTATGTCTAAAATAGTAAAATAGTAAAAATTCACTGCTGCAAGAAGAACTGAAGACATGTTTAAAAACATTACTGTAACTTTAGGTGAATGCAGTGAAAAATTTTAATGGAGTTCCTTGGTACTTGATGAGAATATTGACATACACAGCAATATTTGGAAGAGGAATTGATTCCAGTTTTGATGTAATTGGGGAACTGGGTTCATTAATACCAATATACTACAGCAGGTAAAGACTTGTATAGTGAGCTATAATCACTGTTGAAGAACTCGGTTCCATTGGAAAAGATTGTCAGCATATCAGTTGATGGGGCATGAATGTAGAAGTCATTGGAGTGTTATTTAATAATATTAAAAACTTGACAGGAAGAGAAATATTTGTTAATCATTGTATAATTTATTGACAGAATTTTTGCGCAGAAACTTTAAATGTGCGAGATGTCACCATCCGTATAATAAAACTTATTCATTTTCTCAAATCTCAAGTAATAAATTGCCACTGATTTAATGAATTTTTAAAAAGAATTAAATGTAACATGATGATGTAATTTATAACACAGAAGTGCACTAGTTGAGTAGAGTAAGGGTCATGTTAAAAGAAAAATATAACTTAAAAAAGGAAATTCACTTGTATGTGAAAATGAAAGAATATCTATTTCCCCAGTTCAAGGATAAAGATGGATGTGCGATTTTCCCCCTTTCATTGATATAATTTGGTATCTGAATGACTTTTATTGAATTAATATAACTTAGTATCTGACTAACTTCAAGAGAAATGTCAATTTATGTTTGTTAAAACTAAAGCTTGAAAATAAAGTCAGAATCTTAACAACCATCTATTGTCAAATGACACATTGCATTATCTGTACTTGAGAAAAGAAGCTACTTCAGAAACATGATAATATGCTGAGCAAATACAGAAATTAATCAACTGAATTTTAATCATCAAAAATACAAGGTAACCAAAAACGTTCTTGCCATTTTGGACAGTCAGAAAGAAAAAGTCATAAAACAAATAATAATTACTGCTAATCCCCAAAGTAATCACCATCGGCATCCAGTGCCTTTTGCCAACGAGTAGCTAGCTTTGTGATGCCATCGCTGTAAAACTCGAGAGTCTTGGACGCAAAGAAGTGTGTGAGAGCCTTTTCGAGGTCTACCCAGTTGTTGAAGGATTTCCCATGAAGATGCTTGTCTAGGGAATGGAAAAGGTGGTAGTCTGGGGAGTAGGGTGGTTGGTGTAGTGTCTCCTAGCCCAGTTGCTGGATGGTGTCCCTGGCCTATCGAGCCACATGTGGCCTCGCTATCTCATAGAGGAGGAGTACACCCTTACGATTGACCAATGCTGGTTCTTTATGCATCAGCGCCTGATGCACACTTTCCAACTGCTGTGTGTACAGGCCTGCCGTGATAGTTTGGCCCACTGGCAGGAGCTCATAGTGCACCCCTTGGCAACTACTCCACCAGGTACAGAGCATGATTTTGCGTGGGTAAAGAGAAGGTCTTGCAGTGTGAGGCCACAGTGTCCCATGGAGACAACTATTGTATGGAATGCCTGCGTGTATCATACTGGACTTACTTTTCATCACTGGTGAGTACTCGGTCAAATATGGATGCATTGTGGTGCCGAGTAAGCAGTGGCAAACAGGTAGTAACATAAGAAAAGCATACAAGCTGAGCTCTGTTGCTTGTTTGCATCGGACAGTGAGTAGGGTACCCACTTGCTCAGCTTGTATGCTTTTCTTGTGGGGTGCAAAAGGAGTCTGATTGTTTCATCAGATTCCTGGAAGTGTGCAGCAAGCTCATCACATGTTTGACTACTGTCACCCTCTATGGCTGCTCTCAGGCCCTCATCGTCCAGACTTGCGGCCAACAGCTGTATGGTGCATCACTAAGAGACCTGAGCCCTGGTGGACTGGTCTGAACTTTCCCATTGGCTAGTGGTTTGTTCATTAACGGCATCATCCCCAGAGGCCTAGCAAATTCAGCAACTTGATTCTGCTGCTGGACAGGCCCACTATAAAATCATACACAAACAACTCCGAGCAAGTACTTTTGACACATTCATTTCAATCAGTCACTGTGCGAGTTATGTTTTTAAAGTACCGATGCAATACGTTTTTATACTCTTGGTCAATGTCCAGACTCCCACTGTAACCATTTCATCACCAGGTTTGGCGACAATTTTTATGTTGAGGTTGGTTCACTCTTCCAATGTCATATCAGAAATGGCAAGAAATTTTTTAGTTACTTGTAGAAGCAAATCAAAT